CTAATGAAAGATGTGTACACGTGGGTAATATGTTATGATGTGATGTGATTTGGAGATGAGACAAATGATTGCTTTATGTTCATACTCTAACCATACTTCTCTTCATTATTTTGTTGTGATATATGTGCATAGTGGTGAGCACGCTTTTCATCTTGTGCTCATCCCCACCTGCTCTTTACCGATGCAGGTTAAGTGACAGCCGGGTGACGAGGAAAGGACGAGTTGGTCGGTCTATTTATTTATGCATTATTATGGCTTCCGTTGAACTTGAATAAATTTGTTGCACGTTATGTTTTGTGCAAACTATTTTCAAACTTGGTGTGAGGATTTTGAATCTTACGAACCCTTGTAGTTTTGGGATTGATGTTTGACTATTTATTTATGAGTTTGTGTTGGTTGATGAAAACCGTTGTGAAAACCGGGTAATGAATCCCCGTAGGCCCAGATAAGACTAGGGTTATGAAAATGTTAGTTAACACCCACTAAGTTTTCGAAAATGATTTTGAAAATTTTATACTGGTTTTTAGAAAATTCGAAATTTCTGTAAAATCAAAGTGGGGTGTTACAGTTTGAGCATGATTAATTCTTAATTAAGCACAATTTTGTGCTTAATTATTTAACTAAGCTTAACACTTACACACCAAAATTATTCCGAATGTAAACGTGACTTCAAAATAATTTTTGATATTCCTGACTTGGACGATTAATCTGAATTATTCGTCAACTTAACTTATTAATTCCGAACTCCTTAATTAAAGAAGCGAATCAGAATTAAATCTGTAAACTTATCCGGTTACAAAAATAATTCACCGAATAACTTATCGGCTAATAGTCGAACTTAGAATATAACTAACTGAGTAACTTGAACTTGAACATGAACATGATTATTTATTAACAAAGGTTAGCTTAAAATTTAAAGCTAATATTTTCTTTTATTAATAAAACCTCGGGGTGTTACGGTTGAACATAGACGAACAAGTTCGAGCATACAATACATGCCAATTATCCCTGTCCCAATAACTTTTTGTAACATGAGACGGGTCATCGACAAGCACGTATTTCAATCTAAAACACATAAACTATTCAATTACGAAATCATCTACCTCATGTGAGCCCATTTCTACGACTTCTTCCCTTTCAATTCTGAAAGCCGCTAAGTCAATTAGAAGGTGTTTAATCAACTAATCATAAAGAATTGACAAATCCTAACTCGACAAATTAACATCCAACTGTCACCAATAGCAAGATCGAAATGTCTCTTTTCAATTATGTCAATCGAACACAAATTCATCAATTCCTAATAAATTCAAATCACACAAGCATGAACAAATCAAAGCCCGACAAATGCACGTTAAACAAGAACAATCATTCCCTATCCCTAGCAATAAGATTAGCTACGTAAATTCGATTCAACACAATCAATAATTCTCCTCAATTTAACCATTTTCATGAATTAATAAAAAGAGAAAAGAAACTTACGATTAATCTCAAATCCATATGTTGAATGAGTTACATGCTTAATCTTAACGAAGAAGAAGAATTAAAATGAAAAAAATAAAGATGAAAAGTAAGGTGAAAGATGAAGAAGAATAAGAAGAAGAAAGGGAGGAGAAAGAGTTTCTGAATTTTTGTTACGGGCTAGGGTTCAACCCCTAAGGGGAAGAATGATCTTTTTGTCTAGTCCCGTACACGTATTTATATGTATCACAGGTCGCGGCGTGTGAGAATTTTTATGGCAGCGCGAGGCTAGGATGAGGCGCGGCGCCAGGGAGTAACGCGGCGCGACGCCTGGGAAGATACACAATCTGCTGGTCCGTGGCGGGTGTCGTGTGGGAGGCCACGGCGTGAGAGCAGCATTGGGCGCGACGTGAGGATCAGCCACGGCACGAAGGAAGCATGCGCTGCAGCGCGAAGACATGGCACGACGCGATGGAGTAACCCTTCACGGCGTGGGGAAGGACGCGGCGCGGGAGAAGACCCTGTGTCGCAGCCAGCGCGGCGTGGCGGGTCTGGGCGAGCTGTCTGTCCATGTCAGGGCAGCTGCGCGGCGCGACAGACGTCATCTTCATGGCGCGGGGCTCTCATCCCGGCACGGTGGAAGGTGGCAGCACGGCGCGGAGGTCTCGCGGGCGCGCTGGGAGAGAAAAGTGGCAGGCGCCGCGTCGTGCCGTGTGCCGCGGCGCGGGGCTGGGACCGTGGGGCTTCTGCCCGTCACGTGGTACGAGTGCGGCACGAGAGCTGGTGTCCTGGGCACAGTCTTGGGCAGCTCACATGTCATCACGTTCCGGAGTCGTTCGGGCTCGTTCGGTATCAGAATTTGATTCCGCTTATTTTTGTGTACTCCCAATGCAATGCTCTCTTTAATCATGTTCACCTGACACATTTATCATAGAAAAAATATTCTCCCGAAACTTTCGACCTGCACACCAAAAACGAAGAAAAACCGGAAAAACATACAGAAAGTACAAAGAAAACTAAAATTGAACAAAACGCACAATAAACTATAAAAACTAATAAAAACCAACGAAAAGACCTAAAACGGGGGGAAAAGAAAGAAACATTCATCAACAATTCATATAATTCACCAATACGATGCTCAACAAAACAAAAACCTAAAACTAGACCGATCCACCACATAAGAATGCAAAATTCAATTTGACTCCCCCACACTTAAATGAGGCAATGACCTCATTGCTTGAACACAAAATAGGAAGTCACATAAAAGGACCTAATAATCTCATATAATGAACCAATCTCACCAACTACCACAAGAGCACAAAAGAAAAGACAAGGGAAAGAACAACTCAAAAAAAGATAAAATGAAAAGGGAAAAGGGTGTGCAAACCGAAGATGCCTCGAGGAGAAAAAGCATGCATGTGCAAGTCACTCGCCTATGCTCGGCCTCGGACCTCGTTATTCCTCCTGCTCAAGCTCGCAAATAGTACCTGTCGAGAAAACCACAAAACTCCAACCTCTAATTATTTTAATATAAAACTAAAAGAGCAAAAATAAAAATATCTAGAATAGCGGTAAATTCCTTGGGTTGCCTCCCAAGAAGAGCTTGTTTAACGTCATTAGCTTGACGAAACCTGCGGGGAACTCAGCCGGGATCTATGAAGAAGTGACAGTCGTGCCATGCCTTCGTGTTTTCCAGAAGTGGTAGCATGGGAAGCTTGGCGAGAAGGCTGGCATAGTGGATTCGGGTGGCGATGTTCTTCTTGAAGCGGGCTCGAGCACGAGCAATCCCCAACTCTAAATGCAAAGGTTTTCCCAGACAAGCTCTGTCGTCAACCTCTAGAAGTATGAGCTCATCTGTGGAGCAAGTCGAACTAAATCCCACCCACTTCGTAACACAGTGTAGCGGCCTCGAAGACGGATGCTCCAACTCGGAGATGGGAGGAGGGACTTGAGAATCAAGCCCGTGGATCTCCTCCTCTGAAATATCCTCAATGTCTCGCTGGGGGTCATCGTTATCTTCTTCGGCCTCACACATTGGCTTCATCGTACGGGATTGAATATCAAGCATCAAGTGGGGGTCTTCGACTGGTGCCTCGATTGAGTCGATATGTGCTGTAAGGATCTCCATTTTCGTGCTTAGTCTAGCACATTCGAGCTCAATGTCCACATCTCGAGTGGTCAGGGAAGATATGCGAGCAAGGATGAGGCCGAGCTTTTCATCGTATGATAAAACGACCTCCCGAGATTCATCTCTATGTGTAGACTCGCCTTGGGCGGTGGGCTCGGGAGTGACATCATTAACTCGATCCTCTAAGGCTTGCACGCGCTCCACAAGTTCCTCGATTATGGACTCAACATTGTTCCTACGGGCCGCTTGGGAGGCTAAAAGAGCGAGGGCCTGGTCGATCTTGGCATTCTACCGTGAGGAGTCCTCGAGGGACTCACATGACTGCTCAACGGGTACTGACTCCCATCGCTGCTCGTAAGGATACGACCAAGTCTGGCCATAGTCCAAAGTATCGTAGTATGGAGGTGGCTGGTTCAGTTGGGCACATCGGGTTGCTGTCTCTTCTTCTTGAGCTAACCGGGATGATGCGAAAGCATCGATGCGGTGAGCTTCTCGTTGAATTCGTGGGACTCGTAAGACTGCTCGACCGAGAAGGGGTCCCAATACTGCTCGGAAGAGTAGGGATAAGACTGGACGTGGTACCCGGTGTGGTAGCTCGGCTCGTTGACCCAAGATTGGGTGTGCGAATAGGGGAACACACGGTTGTAGCTCATACTACCTGCACACCAAAGCAGAACAACCACGCGTAGCCACGAAAGTCCGGTTTTTGTCATTCCTTTTCCCTTCGAGTTTATCCTTGTCCTCCAGGACATGAGCTTCGACTCATTCTCCTCATTTCCGTGGTCGTCCCAAATAGGAGGATCATCGTAACTGGTTGACCCGTACTTGGTGGCCATGGTGATGATTTTTTTTTTTTT